CTTTACAAAAGAAAATGGAGATGAAGGGAAAGAGCCTACACACCTTCCCCAAATGCCTGCCTATCACCTAAAGCGCGCAGACAAATCCGGCATCACATTCATCAATATTGGCGTTGGACCCAGCAACGCAAAAACAATTACGGATCATTTAGCAGTTTTGCGCCCTCACTGTTGGCTCATGCTAGGTCACTGTGCAGATCTACGCCGCAGCCAAATCTTAGGAGACTATGTTCTAGCACACGCCTATGTTCGGGAGGATCATGTTCTTGACCAAGACCTCCCGATACAAGTCCCCCTCCCTGCAATTGCTGAAGTACAAACGGCCCTTCAAGAAGCCGTTGTGAACGTTACAGGAATGGCAGGAGCAGACGTGAAAACACGCATGCGCACAGGAACGGTCCTGACAACGGATAATAGGAACTGGGAACTGCGCTCTTCTGACCTTTTCTTAAAGTTCAAGCAAAATCGTGCCATTGCCGTTGATATAGAATCTGCCACAATTGCTGCCAATGGCTTCCGCTTACGGGTTCCCTATGGCACCTTATTATGTGTTTCCGACAAACCCATTCACGGGGAACTAAAGGTGCGGGGTATGGCCAATAAGTTCTATAGCGAGCGCACACATCAACACCTTCTCATTGGGTTAGAGATCATCCGCCTCTTGCGCGAAGGAGGGGTGACAAAGTTGCACTCTCGAAAACTGAGAAGCTTTGACGACCCGCCTTTTCAATAAGCCTCTCATTATTCTCTTTAGGGCCTTGATGGCTGCAATGCGAATAAGCTGTAATTATCAGCATCTCACATTTTCAAGAAATTCTAAAGGATCACACGTATAATTCCCCTTCCGATTTCCAATTAAAAATACCAGACAAGTTATTCCTGAAAGTTATAAATATTTAAGTCGATCTTTGCCCAAGGGGGACCATGATTTGGTCCAAATCCTGTGCGATAAGTACAAATAAGAACACCATCATCCACAAACGCAGAACGAGCATAAGCATTTATTCTATCGTGTAGAAAAGACTGCTTCTGTGCATTTTTCGCCATTCGAGGGGACCATTCGCTCATTTGAAGACGACGCCCTTTGTAGGTGATCCCTCCAGTTTGATAGAGCTTCACTTTTTGAGCGGACGTTAGGAGTTTGGGGCACGCAGGATGACCTTTTGTGTTTGCCCATTTTGGCGCAGAAGGCAACGTTGCCTTTAAAAAGTCTAAAGTATCTTTAAAAAACTGATTTCGGATCGCATCCGTTTCCACCAAAATATTGTGCTTTGTCTGATAAGTTTTCAATGTACATCCAGGCATCTGTACACAACTTTTTCGATCCACAGTATTATCAACCATCTTATCATTTGTGGAGTTTGTCATAAATATCGGTACCGTCAGACGGCTCAGTGTTTCCGGAGCCAAAAGCGTTTTTACAGATTGGAACGTTGCTTCGACCCAATCATAAGTTGGCCCCCTGTGACATAGTGTATGTATGTTTTGCAAATATCTTGTTGGCGTTGAAAACGCCGTGGATCATGGGTCGTTTTATTGCTTTCAAATTTAAAACGAGTCGGATCGTAGTCGCCATATCCCACAGCATAAGAATCACCAAATCCAAAGATAGACGCCGCCCAAACAAGGGATCGTGCGATAAATCGTGGAAAAGGATCTGTTGGAATATCAAGCATTGGAGCCGTTAAAACAGCGGCAGAGATCCTAGAGTTTTCCTGTTTGTCCGCTAAATACCTTAAAGCAACATAGCCCCCATAGAGGATCCTAATAAAATCACAGGACCACGCGCAGAAGGAATGACATAGTTTTTCAACACATGGTCTAAATCTTCTAGATATTCATCATAATGGTTAATGTGATTCTTCTGTGGATGGTCTACGAGTCGTGTTGACCCTCCTTGCCCTCGCCAATCAAAGGCCCATACATCAAATCCAAGATTCCTGAAGTCGTGAATCGTTTCTGCATGCTTTTCAATAAAAGAAGCACGCCCCTGTAAAATGACAATGGAAGGCGTTTCTACACCTAAAAACGCAGAGTTTGCTGAGTGCCAATGCATCAAACGGAGCGTAACATCAGGAGCTATTTGTGCCTTAATTTCTTGCCCCTGTTCCATCAGAATAGGAACGGAAGAAAGAGAAAAAAACGTTGCAGTTATAAAGCTCGCAAGATTCATAAGCAAAATTCCCTAAAACTTTAGATAAAGTTAATTTTCTGGAGAGTATTTCCTAAAGTTTCCTCAATTTCAACAACGATATCCTCACTAAAGTTTTACAGCTAAACACATTTAATTTTTACAGGCACGATTGAGACATACATAAACAGCGAGCAACGCATAACAAAATGATAAGGATACAACTACCTTTTTAAAAACGAGGACAGAAATGAAATTCAGAAATAAATTACCTTTATGTTTAGGGATCATACTGGTCTGCAATACAATTTCAGCCTACGGATCGTTCGTTGACGACGAAGAACAACCAAAAAGAATTCGAAGGTCAGAAAAAAGAATCAGAGAACTCATCGCTGAATACCACAGGGACAAAAAAGTAATGCCAACACTTCCGGTTGGCTCTAAAAATCAACTCACCTCAAGGCGTTCGGAATCACCCCGTCGTCACTAACTTACTTCTTCTCTCTCCATACGTTTAAAAACCATACTGAATAAAGACTTTTTTCCCCTTAGGGGCGTGCTATAATTGGGACCATATTTTTTTACTTTATAATAATAAAAGCAACCT